CCATCAGTACAAAAATTGTCTTCCACCAAAGTGGCCCCTAGTGCCAAAAAGGCTGGGAACCACTGATCTGAAGATCCCAGATATAATATCAAAGAATTAATCTTAGAAGGGTAAGTTTGAAAAAATACCTTAATAAGCAATGCTCTATTTCACTTTAATTTTGTAATTCAATCAGAAATTCTTCTTACTATTGTCTTCAGCTAGAAGACAAGTTTGGTTCAGTTTCAATAATCATATCTATTCATGCATTCATTGAACTAACAATGGAATTGTTAAGAAATAGCTAAATGTAAAAAAAAAAAAATCTTGATCCTAGGGCTTTTTTGCTAGTATCTAGTATTAAAAAGCAATGAGGCTGAAATAAGTAATTTTTTACTACTAGAAGAAATCACAGGTCCAGGAATTTAGCTCAGTGGTTTTGGTGCCCGCCTTGCAAGTGCAAGGGCCTGAGTTCAATCCTTGGTACAAAAAAAAAAAAAAAAATGGACAGGAAAAAAAGAAAAAAATCATAAAGATCATCCAGTCCTATCCTTTCTATGACATAAGAATGCTAGATCAAATGACAAGGACTTTGTACCTAATCTGTAGTTTGTTCATATTATCATTCTGCCAAAACCTGCTTCCATCAATCACATTTTATCATTCAGTAAATACGTGAGTAAATGTTAAGCATTGTGTTGTTCCCTGAACATAGAGCTCTTATCTTTAGAAGTATTAAAATCTATCAAGTAGATAGAAGACAACTAGTAGATTGGAATATTATTTTAGGTTTTCTGCAGAAATGAAACAAACAAGGAGAAGGGCATTTAACCCAAACAAAAAGTGGAGTTTGAGTTGAATCCTGATGGAAGAATGAGAAACAGATATTTGAGAGGAGCAAGCAGAAACAAAATGAAGGCAACTGGAAGACATTTGTTTGTGTGAGCAATGACTAAATAAAAGATACAGGCTTAGAAAATATAAGGGTGGACCTATGACACATCTAATGCTTTTCCCAGCTGACTTTTCCTCAGGTTCCACTTGTGAGGATTACACTTTGACCCACTGTATCAACTATAAAGGTGCAGAAAGGAGTAGAAAGACAGCTGCAGATTCATCTTCCAAATTAATAGATCAATAAATCATGCCTAAAACTAAAACAAATTTTTAAAAATTTAAAAGGTAGCAGCAACTTAGTCATGTTAGCGATTTAGAGGTTACCTCTGCAAAGCAGAAATTGGGGGCTGCAGAGCACTGCCACATTTTTATATAAAAGCCTTTGACTCCTTAAACAAAGTTTATATTTAACTTTGATTTAAGAATTAAATTTAAAATTGTATGTGGAAACTAACATGCATGCCAACTTACACAATTTGTCTACTTTACGCCTTCAGATGCTGTGGGTGGCCCTTGAAAACATCTGAGTGTGGATAGAAAGAGCAGAGTGTGAGAACATTACTAGAGCAGTGGATACCTTGTAGTAGTTAACAGATGCTTAGAAATAAATAAAAAGAGGGGAAGAACAGAAAGGGAGCTAAGGAAAGACAATTTTTGGAATAGAAAATCCTGACCAGCTTTTCTCCCCTATCACTCACCCCACAGCCCTGAGTTGCAGTGGAAAGCAACAATAATACCAGAATCCACCTGGGCCTTGTAAGTTTAGAGACATTATTATGAAACACTTTTGATGTAGTTACAATAAGGACAATAAGGACAAGAAGAGACACTTTGGCTTGATTTAATTTTTTCTTCCTCTTCTTGATTACAGGAGGATGAAATTAAATAATGGTATCATGCTAGCATTTTAAATGTCAAGGTTGTGCTAGGCACATAAAGAGCTCCTCTGATAAATCCTTATGGTCCTAGGCAACAAAACAACAACCATTCTTTCCAGACATTATTTATTTAGTCCTCCTTTAAATGCTGCTACATAAACTCAGTAAACATTGAGTGAAATTTAGGAAAGATGACAATTCTCTCTGTTGAACAGAAAATAACCAATGAATATCTGAATTAAATATTCTGGAATATGATCTCTTTTTTTTCTCATTGAGTTTATTGGTACATTTTAGGTATACAGTACAGTTACATTCATCATTGGGATCTTGTACCTTTACATGACAGGTCTTGGTTCTCATGTTTTTCCCTTATCCCTGCCCTCCCTTCACAATATGATCTCTTTTGATGTAAAATGTTCAATTCTGTCTTTGTGTCCCTAGTCCTTACTATAATGCCTTGCATGTAGGACATACTTAATTATTGTTGAAATGAGTTAAACTGCATTGAATAGTGGGACTTATTTTTCATGCTTGCCAGTTATTCTAGCCTACATTTATTCTTGCCTTTATTTTTCACTTACACTTGTGGGTAGACTCAAAAAAAATGTAATCCCCTATTGCAAAACTCATTAGTGAAGAAGGAGCAAAGAAAGCAAAGGGGCAGTAGACAATGGGGAGGGGAGAAAGAGAAAAATGAGTAAGGGAGAAGAGTAGAGGAGACTAAACCTTTAAATCGGGCCCCTGCAGAAGAATGGAGGTAAGAAACAATAAATCAAGGGTGATTTAAATTGCCCTCTCAACATTACTCAGTCTGTGCTATATTGCACCAGGCTGTCTCATTTCTCTTACAGCTTCTCAATATATTCAATTTCCCTACTTTTCTCATATTTGTTTTCAAATATTTTCCCTACAATGAGATTTTTAACTAAAGACATTCAATCTCCAATTGTCTTCCTTAAAATGAAATATCTCCACCCTAAACATTCTTCATTAATCATTTTTCTTCTTAACAATTTTAGTACTAAAAAAGTGGGTTTACATGCCATGGAAAATAAGTCTAACTAACTAGGTTACAAAGCTGTCTTCAACGTAATCTAACTATAATTCAGCAGTTGGATGTGTGAATCAAACAATACTAAGCTTTAGAAGACCAAAGCATAGAATATTGGATTGAATTTCAACTTTCTTCTTTCTTTCTTTCTTTCTTTCTTTCTTTCTTTCTTTCTTTCTTTCTTTCTTTCTTTCTTTCTTTCTTTCTTTCTTTCTTTCTTTCTTTCTTCTTTCTTTCTTTCTTTCTTTCTTTATCTTTCACAGTACTGAGGATTGAACCCAAGAGCTTCTCATTGAGCTATACCCCCAGTCCTTTGTTTTACTTTGTTAAATTTTCAGAAAGGGTCTCACTAAGTTACTAAATTGCCTAAACTAAGCCCAAGCTTTCATCTTCCTACCTCAGGCCTCCAGAGAGCTTGGATCACAGGTGTGTGCCACCACACCTAACTTGAGCCTGCTTTGTATTTTTAATATGTCAGTCATTAGTGGAAGAACTGTTCCAATTTTGAAGAAGATAGGTGGGGTCCTTAGAGAAATTTCTGATAATAGAAATAAAAATGATTCTGTAATAGTGGAAAGAATACCAGTATATAATTTCAAAAGAATTGAGATTGTGCACCTTGAAGAAGAAAAAAATGCAGGAAGATATAATAATTAGTCTTTCAGATATTATTCAGTAAAATAGCGTTGATGGTGGGTAGTTATTGTCTGTTATGTCCTTTGTACTATCTCCTGACTTCTCATTGCTCCTGATCAATTTTATGTTATCCTTCTTTGCATCATCTAGCACCTGTTGAATTGGTTTTTCATGGTCCCTTGTTATTTTTAAGAAGTCTTTCTTTTCATGATCACTAACAATGAACTGTCTTCTAGATATGATATTCTGCACTCACATTGGTTAATTCTGCTGGGTATACTTTCAATAGAGTGTTTAATTTCCTGGATATCTGTTTGAATCTATTTCATAGATTCCATTTCTTTCCTATGTTGAGAATTCAAGATTTCTATCATTTTCTGTTGATGCTTGTAATTGCTTATGATAGCTTTATTACTAGGATTGAGAACTCCTTAAGAAATGAGTACTTTTCAGAGGGGGCTTCTAGATATAACTGGATTTTACCTTTTGAGTCTGTCACAGGTCCTACCTCTTTAATTCACTAGGGATGAGAAGTTGTTGCCTATTTGGCCTAGCCCCTAGTTCAGTAGGACTGGCCTGTAGTATTATTTAAGACATTCAGATGATCTTGGTCTTGGTATACTAGGAAGAAGAACTGATTAGAATAACTATGTCACATTGGCTAAAGTAGTACAATCAGTAATAACTATAGGATCAAGCACAACCTAGAAAATGACAAACTGTGGTAACTATTGAGTTACTACCTTTAATCATATGAACAAGATATACAGCTTTATAACAAAATCTAAAACAAACTAGGAATTTATATACAGCAAATAGTCCCTCAATTGAGCCATTTTAGCCCCTGGGGAGATCTAAAAGAGATAGAAGGGAAATAGAGAAATAGAAGATTAATATTAGAAAAAGATTAGAAGCAAGGTTGAAGGACAAAAGAAGATTACTTAAACTTTTGGAGTCTGGAGAAGAAGGAAGAAACAAAAACAAAAACTAAACTAAACCAAAAAAATGTAAAAACAATGTTCACAACCATGAAAACATTCAATTAAAAAAGGAGAAAGAGGGAGGGAGAGAGAGGGGGAGGGAGGGAGATTCCTCTGTGATTTCAAGCCTATGGCTATCTTCTGGGGTCAACAGTTATGTGGTAGGATCGTCTTCAAGGTGTGTCTCTGCTGTGCTGGTAGAGAGAGCCCAGATTAGTAGTGTACGATCCCAGAAAGCCTGTAGTAGCGTTAGGGCAAGGTGCTGCGTAATCCCAGCAAGTCTGTAGTAGGAATAGAGTGGGGTGCCTATTCAACTTTGCAAAACTTCAGGCTGATTCTGGTCTCTGGCTGTCAGCCTATGGGCCTATGGCCCAAATTGTTCATCCCACAAATCTGTGGGTGTTTCTTGCCAGATTGACCTGAGCTCCCCAATCCTGGGTGTCTCCCATGGATGTGCCTCACCCATACACTGGGAGCCTGGGAGCTTCTCCCAGTCCCAAGTTCAGCTGGCCCCACTCCAAAATGGCATCCAGTCAATCACACTCTCCTGGAGACATTTAGAGAAGAGTCACTCACCAGCCAATGTATCCACTGCTCCACTCCACTGGTGCATTTCTCTGTGGAAGCTTCCGGGGTCTCTGGCCATCACAGCACTTCTGTAGGCTCAAGACTCCTCTCTCACACTGAAATCTGGGAATAAAAAAGAATGCACAGTTTACCAACAATCTGGGGATCAAGGAGAAAGCACAGTTTGCTACTTCCCTCTTCTGCAATGAAGTCCATTACCTTGCTCTCCCCATGGGCTCCAGTTCTCCCTTCAGAACTTTTCTGAGGCCCCAGGATCCACCTCTCTCCTTCATCTCTTCCTCAAATTGCTATATTCCAGTGTCTGCTCTCTCAATCTCAGAGATTTGCTGCTGCTCATGGCTCCATCATCATCTTCCCAGAAGTCCTGTTTTCTATTATTGTTAAAGAAAGAACAAGTGAAAAAAGGTTTACTACCAGTCAAAATTATATAAATTAGAAAATAGTCTTATCACTATAATGTTAGTGAAATCCTAGATTGTATTTTCATACCAAAACCATTCAACTCAATCTTAAAGTAAGGGATACTTTTTGGTGAATTTTACCACAGGTATCCAAGAAAACATTTAATTTTGGATCATAACTCTCTCTCTCATATACCATAAACTTTCAGGTAGTATTTCATTCAGTACATGGTTTTCTAATTTATCCATGTTTTATAGAAATCTGCCTTTCTAAAGAATGAAGAATATTCTCTAGGTACATTATCCAGGGTATCCAGCTAAGTCATTATATTCAGCTTTAAAATAATTAATTTAAAACAATGAATGTCTTGTTACTTTCTTTTTGCTGAGACAAAATACCCAATACCCACAAGTTAAGGGAAGAAAGGTTTATTTGGTTTATAGTTTGTAAGAGGTTTCAGTCCATAGCTGGGTAACTCTAAGGCAGTGTGGCACATGGCAGAGGGGCAACTGTTGATGGTGGGCAGAGACAGGAAAAGCAACAAGAGACCTTAAATATATCTTCCTACACCTTTTATCTTATGCAGACTACTTAGAGCAGAGAGCATGCACAACCTTAATGCTAAAGCCTTTGCACTTTGCATTGCACCACGAATCAATCACACACTCTAAATTTAGCCACCTCTGAAAAAGCACCACCTAGGAATGAATGAGGCTTTTGAGGGACATCTAGACCCAACTACAGCAGTGAATCTTACAAATCCAACTCTTATTCTCAGGCTAGTTAGCCAACTTGTAGTTTGAGTTCTCTGTGCTACTCCATCTTACTAAGTACCAAGCATATATAATTCGGGTCTCCACTGATATCTAAATGTTGAGTTACACATGCCTCTGACTTTCCTACATCAATTTTTTAAACTTCCCTTCAGTCAGTTTTTTTTAACTTAAATTTTCCATTACATTCATTATTTTCCTACTCACACATACAGATTATCATTATATTCAGCCACCTTTTTTGTGTGTTCTAATGCTAATCAAAGTTATCATGAAACTCACATTTAGAAACCCACAGTTTAATCAGCACAATTCAATGGGCAATAGAACTGCTGACAACTAATAGAACAGTTCCTCAGAGTGGCTGGTATTCTTCACATCTACATCTTGGACTTCCTATTGTCTTTGGCTGTGCTGTTTGTTTATTTTTTTGTTTGGTACTTGTTCTTTGCAATATTTAATAAAATATAATTTTAAAATAAAATTGTATATATTTAAGGTATACACCATGGAGGTTTGATACAGTATATGTACACATTATGAAATAGTTATCACAATCCAGTCAGTTAACACATGCATTAGCTCATATAGTCACCAATTTTTTGTGTATATGATGAAAATGTTCTAAGTTCTGGCTTCAGCAAATTTCAAGAATACAAGTTTTGTTCTGGCTATTGATTGAGTTATATGAATTCCTCAAATTTTCTTATATATTAGCACCTATCAGAAATATTGCCTCCTTTATTTTGTTGATGATTTCTTGTACCTTGCAAAGCTTTTTTGTCTCCTGTGGTCCTGCTTATTTTTTTATTTTGTTGTCAGTGCTTTTGTTGTCATAGCCAAAAAATTACTGCCGAGACAATGTTAAGAAGTTATCCTCTATGCTTGTCTCTGTAGTTTTCTTTATGGTTTCAGATCTTTCAATTAAGCTTTCACATTATTTTCAGTTAATTTTTGTGAGTGGTATAATATAAGGATTCAGTTTCATTCTTTTATTTACAGATATCCAGTTTTTTCAACACCATTTATTGAAAAGACTATTCTCTCTTGACAGTGTATTCTTGGAGTCTTCACCAAATATTAGTTGACCATATAATCACAGATTTAGTTCTGAGATCTCAGATCTGTTCTATTGGTTTGTGTATCTGATTTTAGATCCATGTCATAATGTTTTTATTACTACAGCTTTGTAATATAGCTTAAAAATATGGATTGTGAGCCTCCAGATGTGTTCTTTTTCAAAATTTCTTTGGTTATTGGGATTTTATATGAAATTTAAGGTTATTTTTCTATTTCTGTGGGAATGCTATTAAGTGATGAATGTCATTATATTATATACCTTAAATTTACCAATAAAATTAATTTTAAAATATTATTATATGGGCCGGAGATTTAGCTCAGCAGTTTGGTGGCCTGCCTTGCAAGTGCAAAGACCCGAGTTCAATCCCCAGTACCAAAATTTATAGCTAACTTTATAATATGGACATTTTAACAATATTCTGTCTTTCATTATTTGAACATAAGTCACCTACCATTTATTTGTCTTTTTAAATTTTTTTCATTGTTACTTTTCAAGGCATACATCTTTTATCAACTTGATTAAATTTACTACCAAAGTGCTCTATTATTTTTTATAATGTCAATAAAATTTTTTATTTCCTTTTCAGAGAGTTTCTTGTTTAGATTTTTGGGTGTTGACTTTGTATCCTGCAAATCTATGAATTGGTTTATTAATCCTTAGAGTTTTTATAGAGTTTTCAGAATTTTCTAGATATAAAATCATATCATCTGAAAACAGACAATTTTACTTATTCTTTTTTAAATTTGGATGCTTTTTCCCCTTTTCCTTGCCTAGTTCCTTTGTTTAGGATTTCTAGTATTATGTTGAACAGAAGGAGTAATCAACATAGGCACCCTTGTTATGTCCCTGATGTTAGAGGAAAAGACTTCATCAATGAGTACATTAGCTGTGGATTTGTCACATGTATCTGTTACATTTAGGTACATCCTTTTTAGCCTAATTCATTTGGATTTATTATTATTATTATTATTATTATGCTATGTTGAATTTTGTCCAAAGCTTTTTCTGAATCTATTGAGAATATCAGTTTTGCTCTGCCTTCTGTTAATGTGATACATTAATTTGCAAGCATGCATATCAAATCATCATGGGAAACAAACCATTTGATTATGGTATTTTATTTCTTTGCTACTATTTTATTGATCTATAATTCCTTTTCTGATAGTGTCCTCATCTGGCTTTGGTATGAGAGTATCACAAGCCTTATAGAATGAATTTAGAAATGTGCTCTTCTCTTTAAGTTTTTGGAAAAGTTTGAAAATGGTTAGAAATAATTCTTTAAATGTTTGGTAGAATTTACCAGTGTTATGGCTTGTATCTAAATGTTCCCCAAAGCCTCATGCACTCAACTTTGGGCTTTTTGGAGCTGGTTAGATGTAGAGTGTGTGATACTGAAATTATGGGAGTGGGTACTAAAGTAGCCCACTGATTTGCTTTAGCATAGTTCTGGATGTGGACATTGGGAAGGCCCACCCTGGATGTGGGTGGCACAACCCAAAATGCATACACTGGAAGAGATAAACAGAAAAGCTTCACTGCTGCTGCTTTCTGCCTGCCTTGCCATGAAATGTTTCTTCTCTCTGATGCCCTCTGCCATGCCACTTTGCCTCTGCAAAGCCAGCAGACTATGGACTGAAGTCTGTACAAACTATGAGCCAAAATAAAATCTTCCTCCTTTAACTTGTGGGGGTAAAGCATTTTGTTTCAACAACTAGGAAACTAAGTGAAACTCTTTGGCCCTTGGATTTCTGTTTGTTGGGAAGTTTTTGATTACTGATTTAATACAGTTACTTATTATTTGTTTGGATTTTTTGTCTTCATGATTCAACTTTGTGGGTTGTTTGTTGCTAAGAATGTACCAATTTCTTATAGATTATGCATTTTTACTGGAAGATAGTTGTTCTTTAGTATAATAATATTTTATACTTCTGCAGTATAAATTGTAGTGTTTTCTTTTTCATTTATAGTTTTATTTATTCTTTTTTTACATTCTTTACCTAATATCAACTTCATTTATTTTTTTCTCTGATCATTGTTTTCTTCATTCTGCAATCTTGTGATTATTTGATTTTCTGCTTCTACTTCCTTGAGATACAAATTTAGATTCTTCATTTGAGGTCATTCTTTTTTTTTTAGTGTAAGTTTTTATCACTATAATTGTCCCTCCTGGAACAGATTTTGCTGTATCCTGTAAGTTATGGTGTGATGTATTCCCATTTTTATTTGTCTCAAGATTCTTTTATTCCTGTTTGGAGTTCTTTGACTTATTGGTTATTCAAGTGTTATCATGATGTATGCCTAAAATACACCAATAAATGTATTGCAATTAATAAATAATTTTTAAAATATGTTGTTTAATTTCTCTGTTTGTGAATTTTTAAATATTTTCCTCTTATTGATTACTAGCTTCATAACACTGAAGTCTGAAAAGATAACTCAATTTCAACCTTGGAATTTAAGTTTCCTTTGTGGCCTAGCATATTATCTATCTTCAGAATCTTGTGTGCACTTGATTAAATTTTGTTTTCTGTTTCTCTTGTATGAAATATTCTATATGTGTCCCTTAGTTTCATTTGGTCTATAGTATTGTTCAAATCCACTGTTTCTTTGTTGATTTTTTGGGGGTGTCTGGATGATCTAGCTATTGTTTAGAATGAGCTATTAAGGACTCAACAATTATTGTATTGCTGTTTATTTCTCCCTCAGTTCTGCTCTGGTAGTATTCACCTTATATATTTAGATAATCTGATGCTGGAAGCTTAACTATTTATAATTATTTTATTTTCTTCTTGATGACTTGTCTCCTTTTTAATTATATGATAACGTTTTTCTATTTTTACAGTTGTTGACTTAAAGGTTTATTTTGTCTAATATAAGTCTAGCAATTGTTGCTGACTTTTGATTATTATGTGCACGAAGTATCTTTTTCTATCCCTTCATTTTCAGCCTGTGTATTCTCAAAGCTGTAGTCTTTTATAGGAAGCATATCATTAAATTTTTAAATTCAGTCATTCTATATCTTTTGATAGAAGAATTTTATTCTTTTCCAGTGTAAGTAATTACTGGCAAGTAAAGACTTATTAGACAATTT